CCGGTTCTGCGGGGACTTGTAGGCACTGCTGCTGCTGCCAGAGGCCTGGATCACTGCCCGCTGCAGGGTCTGGTCGTCAAACGCGTGCTCTGAAGTGGCTCTTCCCTTCTCCCTGAGTCTGCAAGCGTGAATGAATGATGACCAAGAAAAAAAAAGCGTATCATTTTCAAATCATTGCTACGGATGCACTGTACTGAGCAAATAGTTGTAAATTGTGCTAATTGTCAAATGGGAGGCAGTCATTGTTTACAAACTTTACATTGAGACATCATGGGAAGAAAAATCATTCGTTCATTCAATCCATCTCTCAATCAACCAGCAGCAGTGACATTCCCAAATACACCTGTGCATTCTGCTGGAAATTAAAGAGGTTTAGATATATATGACTGATGAATCACCTGCAGGAGATGATTCAAACATCATCATGCAGGCCCCGATCCAATTGAATATAATTTTCCTTGTACCGCCTAGATATTTATTGCTGACGACATTGATGATGATTAATTGTACGTACAGGACACAGCAATAACTCGCAGGATGGATTAATTGTAGCCTAATAATAAACCAATTAAACAAATAATCCTCATTATAGCAGTTCATTATAATAGTACTGTACCCATGTAGATAATAGTATAGATGTACTCACAGCAAATTCTTGTTCCTTCGCCTCATGTTCACCTCCAAGTCCGGCAGAGACTTGGTCTTCTCCACCTTCCGCTGAGACGGCGGCACCACTGTAATTGTGGCCCCCGTGCTGGCCGGCGAATACTTGGACGTTGGCAGGGCTGGCTTCTTGCCCGTGCTCAGGAACCGCGTCTTGCGCCGGTGAGTCGCCGTCTCCATGCCCGCGGGGCTGGGACTCGTCTGCAGGAACACGTCAGACGTGGCACTGGGTGACGACGGACAGTCTCCTGCAGTTTATATACATACAGTATACATCATGTACATAATAACAATGATACAAATAATGAACTGTAGCAGCAGGCACCGAAACCCTTCTTGCTTGCCATTATTATTATTATTATTATTATCATTATTACTATTACTGTATTATTATTATTAGAAGAAGAATCTATAAATTTAATTCCAATTTCCTAATTTTGTACTCATTCATACCTCGCGCAGAAAGGAAAGCGCCAATTTATAACACTGAAATCGCTGATGCTTCTTCATTCAAAATAAAATTAAAATTGCTGTATCGAATTATTAATCGAATCTGGCTTTTTAATAATTTGGTTTCATTTGTCTGGTGCAGTATACAGTACTATAGAAAATTGTTTAAAATGTTCCAAGGGATGATTTTGATTGAATACACACATTTTTTTATTCCTGCAAAAATTCTTTGGGTAAATTCTTTTTGTTGAAAAAGTATGCATAGCTTAAATCAAAATACTGTAGCACTTGAATGAAGTGTCAATGAAGAATTTTCTGCAATCAAATCTCTTGAAAAAAAAAAGTTTACAGCCAATAGAAACTTTAATTCAGTTTCCACATTATTAGGCAGAATTCTTTCTCAAAATACTGTTCCATTCGGTCAAACTTATATTTCTAAGTACTGTATATATAGAGGATATATTATAGTGTGCATAAATGATAGCGCAACATTTTTATTTAAAGAAAATGACACAGTGAGTCTTCATCAGCGCCTATTATATGCACATAAGAAATAACTTATTAAACAGTACTTTAATCAAGAAAAAAAAATATTTGTAATATTGTTCTCGATATAATGTATATGCTGTACTGCACCTTGGCCATTTTCGTAATTTGGCGGAGAGTCGCCGTTGTTGCGGCCGAGACTGATGGACACCATGGGCTCGGTCCCTCCGAAGGCTTGGTTCACCAGTCCGTTTCCTCCGCCACTGCCGCCACCGCCGCCGCCGTTCCTCATCGCCGCCGCCGAAGCCGAGCCGTTAATCGCCATTTCGTGGCTGTTCGTCACGACAACGCTGTCTCGGTTACTCGGCCTGAAAGACTGGCTGATCTTCCTGCACAAGCAAAGGCAATAAACTCTGATTGACGACCTCATCCTTTGTCTATACTGTACTTCACAGCATATAGATATGGACCAATCGAATCGTGCATGTCGAATAAATACTGCGTCTATATATACTGTACTGTACTTTACTGCTGCGCACTCTTAATCTAGCGTGCTGTACAATAATATACGTATGCCCGCCTCATCTTGCTCAAATAAGCTGCTGCTGATGCTGCGCGTGTCTCACATCATCAATGCATTTTTGCTGCCCATATACAGTACAGTACTGTGCTTGTTGCGTGCGTTCCAAGTGTACTGCATGCACACTCTATACAGATTTATAAAGACACGCCAAGTGGTAATAATGATAATTGGACCGTGTTTGGAATGGCTCTTATTCTCACGTATGTGCGCAAAGTCCGCGAACGAGGTAATTCGTCGGGAAAGAAAAATAAAAATGATCCGCAGTCGGTAGGACTCGAACCTACGCTCCCAGAGGGAATCTGATTTCTAGTCAGACGCCTTAACCACTCGGCCACGACTGCTTCATGTCTTACCGAATGTATCAAATTGGGACCTAAACTAATTTTCAGCTTTCCAGAGGGTAACGTATATAAAGTGTGCTTGGCATATATTCTGTTCAGCAGTACTGTAGTACAGTGCCATACATTCAAGAATTGTGACTCAGGGTTGATGATCTGACTCTATGGACCTTATACTTTACTTTAAACATGCATCTTTGCTTTAACAATGCAAGGAAAAAAAAAAAAGTGAATATCGCCTCTGCTCATAATGGTCGACGACATTCAAGGCCATGTATGATACAGTCCTTATTTGGATGAGCGAGTTGAGAAAAATGTGAGTCATGTTAAAATTATAGCTCGTCAGAGTTACCTGTAGTGAAAAAGAGGATATACTGTATAAACTGATGAAAGGAAGGAAATCAAGGAGGAAGGAAGGAAGTTCTATTTACCTCTTGATGTTCTGGAATCCTGATCTTGGCCTTCCCTTGGCAGGTTTCTTGGGCACTGTCAGGCCTTTCAGCAGTCCTTCCATGGGCACCATTGCAGTGTGTTTCATATTCTCCAGCTTGGCTTGCTCAGCAGCAAAGTGATTATACAGTCTATTCGTCCACTGGCCGACTCCTCGGATATGCAGCCAAATGTAATCTAATATAGGCGCGTATAGTTCATGAAGAAAAATAAAATCAACGTCCAAATACCTGCATACAAATCCAAATAATGATCAAGTTTGCGGAACATACAATTTTAAACACTCTTCAAATTAGGTTCAATCCAGCTTTCTGAATTATTTGTTGCAAAGCATGCATGCAGAAACGTTGAAAATAAATTTTGCATTTGGCATATGATGCTTCTTCGTGATTTTTACCCTACGATGAACTCCATCAATGCATCTGCCCAACTATGGGATTCAAAAAATGGAATCAAATGTGTACAATAAAATAGGCATTTAAAATTATATTCCTTGCTGTAAACAAAAAAAAACTGTAATGGAAGAAAAACTCGTTTTCCCTCTTATTTTTTATATTAGTCGACGGTATTTGTTCGAGTCACGTCATTGATAAAATTCAAAGACAAGGAATCTTCTCGAACATGTTACATGTATATAAAATATGGGAATTTACAGTACTCGAGATGGGTGTTCTACCGCAGAATTGCAATATAGAAGGAAACGAGCAATCTGACTAATTATATAAGCCGGATTTCCAACAGTAAGTCGAGTGCAGAATGTATGAAGGGTTCGTGAACTAACCTTCCAACTCGGGTGCACTGCTGATGGTAAACGGGTGCCATTCGTACTTGGCAATGGCCGGAATGTTGACAAAGACGTAATCCCCGGCGCTGTAGAAAAAGTTCGGCGGCCTCTTCACAACCAAATGTGTTACCTGATGGGAGATAATTTGCACAGTATACAGTAGAGAACCCCTGCACAACGGACCTCCGGCACAGCAGATTTTTTGCCCAACAGACCGCCTTTAGAGACGTACAGTTGTTCGTCTCGCAAAACAGACACATCCACGTAATAGACTTCAGTCTGTATATAGAAGTACTGTGCGTCACCTCGTCGGTGGACATGAGTCCCTCAGGTCCCTGCACCCTTGCTTCCCAATTTAATTTATACTGTATATGAAATACCATTATTTCTGTGAATGTGTGCTATGTGCTGTGTTTTTTCACTTATTTTGGTTGTAATTTTGTTTTTTTTTGTATAACAGCCTTTTCACATAACAGACTTTAGTCTGCTGCACGAATTGATACGTCTGCTGTGCGGGGGTTGACTCAATATAACTGCGTTATATTGAGGAGATTTATAAAGCCTACTGTATAATGTAGGACTGTAGGTGTTAGTGGTGGTGGTGATGTAACCAAGAAACAAAACAAACAGGGAAAACTGACCTTGGACGGCAGCATGATCCCAGAGGAAATGTAAGTCCTTCCGGAATTGCTGCTCATGCGAACCACTCGGACCAGACGCTCAATCAGGAAGATTATCCCGGGTCCGACCAGCCATTTCCAAAAGTTCTTGCAATGGAGGACCAAAATGACCCAGTACGGAATGTACAGCAAGTGAGTCCAATAAAATATCTGCCAATAAATGTGTTTTTTTGTTGCATCAGTAAAATACAGTACAGGCTTTGATTTATTCAACAAATTGTGCTATGGCGGCGCATTCTAAAATGGCATCCGTTAACCAGCATGCTGGAACTCGTCAAGTTTCCCAAGAAATTACTGTATTGATCATTATTTGTACGAGGCATTTATAGCTAGTGCCTTTTTCAGAAAAGAAACAATAAGTCGTACATGAGCATCAAATTTATTGGTGCATAAACATTATATAACTCGTTTTTTCTCAAATTTAAGATCTACGATAAGAACCATCACAGCACGCTGGGCAAATAAATCAATGAGTGATATAAACTCAGTTGAAAGCGCAAATAATCAATACTGTACGTATTTTGGGATTTGAGCATTTCAGTTTTCTTGTACTGTACATTTTTTTTAGCATTCTAAAATTCAGTCTTGAATGTCCATCTCGCTGGCATTCGCCTGAGTCATACACGAACCTCAGTAAAACCATTTGGTAAAAATTACTGACAATAATTGTATTTGTGAGCTAATTTAATTTCATTCAGAATTTTGAAAAGTTGCGCATAACCGCTCGAGTTACAAATTGTATCCATATTATTACTGTACAGTACTTGCCTAACGTATTCCGGTTAATTAAGAAAGTTTCTGAATTTTTTCAAAAGTTCGGAACAAATCAAGAAGAATTTTTCGGAAAATTATGACGATCAATGAATTATAAAGAAAATTCTGCATCAACCACTGTGATCAAGTATCATCACTGGTGCATGTAGTGAAACCTTTCGAAGTATATATACTGTATATAAAAAGGTGAAAGTTGAGGATAAAAACGAGGGATTTTAAAATGTGGGTCCAGCATCCATCATTTCGTGTTTTATTTGCTTATATACTGTACAGTACATTATTTCATCGCTCATTCGATCTATATGTATTTAAAAAGTGCGTATAACCCTGACGACAGAATATGTGGTCGGGAAAGATTACCCAGCAGTCGTTGGAAATGTTGCATGACTGTGTTCAATTCAGCTTTCACATCCTTTCATTTAAATCCCCATGCATGCCCCCATCAAACCAGCTCCTACTATACTTTACACATGCTGCTGGTATTATACAGGAGTACATCATTTTGAGGAAACGCAATGAATGTGCTGAAGAATGAAAAGACTATACAGGTTATTATCCCATTATTCTTACCATATAAATAATGTAACTACGCCCACGACAAAAGCCATCGCGGGCGTTAACACACAAGTACCAACCATATATTATAAATAAATGAATGAATGAATAAATAAATAAGCAAATAAATAACACGCATAAATAAATGTAATAGTAATATGTATAGAGATGATAGGAGAAAAGTACACATGCCTCAAAGTTTCCAGATTTGCGCACACAGGGCAGTGAGCAGAGCACCATGACGATGAGAATGACGACCAGTGCACAGCCAGTGGGATTCGCCCAAGCAGTAACCAAACCATAATTGATGGGTTTTCCGTAGAAATTCGGGGCCGGCCGCGTAGTGAACAGCCACTCGGCGTAAGTCAAGTCCAACTTGTCCAGTACCGGCATGAAGAAGTAAGCTTATATTCATGGAGAATAAAACAAAAATAAAAAATTATTTACTCTACTGTACTGTACTACTGCTTATATCTATATATATATGAGGAAATGCGGGTATTAAAGGCACTTATGAAAGTCTAGCCCCTCGTCATCATCAGCATCAGTATATATAGCGAGCCCTCGACTACGGTTTCCGATAATACAAGAAAACAAAAATTGGAATAATTCGCATCATTATTGCGTCCTTTCGTATCCACAGCACACAGGCTAATATTAAGTTTTCAACACCAAACTGCCCTCGTGAAAGTAATGTGGCGGAAAAAAGGGTGTTTCCTCACCTTTCGTACCCATTTTCGATCAAAATCAAGGAGCAATACCAATTTTCATCTATAAAGTATAATCTTATTACAACAAACTTCTGGGGATTTCTTTTTTAAACTGGATAATTTGTAATGAGATTTTAAAAATTCATAACTGGAATTTTCAAAAATCGACACGTTTATAATCAATTAAATCTTGCTTTTCTGACACGCGCATTTCAGATCATATCAGATTATTTGAAGAACTTGATCTCCAGAAAAACAAATTAGCTCGTACAATTATGCATTCCATCAGTTGCACAAACCTCTTCATTTTGAGAGAATGATTTATTGTGGAACTTACTTGGAAACATTTTTGTAACAGATTAAAAAATTACAAGAACAAGTTAGGGAATGAGAAATATCACACTGTGCTTGCATTATAGCTAGGACATTTTTTTTTTTACCTCTACTGGAGAATCCATTCAACATTCCTCAAAAGAAAAATTGTTTTCCTGAAATTTGGAAGTTTGTCAAGGTATAATGAGATTGTTTTTCCAGCAATTGAGAAAAAGTTTGACATACTGAATAATGTGTTGTATATAGTAATTAGCATTTTTTTTCGTAATGAGATTCATACCAGAAACCCAGCACCTTTAGTGCCAAGTATAACCCCGAATATTCCCATTTCAAGAGTATGTATGGAACCACTCTTACAAATTTTGAAGTCCTCATTATATTACCTATGTTTGCTAAATGAGCAACTGTGTGGACCAGAGCAAAGGACAAGATGAGCCAACCGCAGACTTTGTGCAAGTAAATGTGCTGATCCAGGGGAAGCACACTCGCCAGTCCGTGATTGCGCAGAAAGGTCAGCGTGTGTCTCAGCATCAGCACCAGGATGAAGGTCGAGTTGAAGTTCAAGCACTGACCTAAACTCATCGGGGAATGATGATGGACAAACATAATCATCAATCACACATTATACAAACAACAATAATAACCCGACTGCAAATGAGTGTCGCGCAATTAAGTGAAAATGGAACAATCAAGACAGAGTTTCCTATTTCTGTGTGAGATATCAGAGTGCACCAATGAGGAAAAAAAAGCTAATGAGTGTCACTGATCGACATTTTTCATTCCACGTTTCTTTTCCTTGCGTAATTGAGAATTACGCTTTTCAACTTTTACAATTGTTCAAAGCTGAAGAAGGACTCTAGATGTGGACAACTTTTGAATGAAATAAAGTGAACAGTATATTATATACACAAGAATTGGTTCAGCATGAGGTTCTTTAAATCACTGTATTGTTTTTTAATTATTATATATACTATTTGAAGTTGAATAATACAGTATTTGGTCATTTCCATTTCCTCCTTTTCCAACTTTCCCACTTTATTTCAAAAGGCGAGGTAAATGATTGTACTTATTGCAGAGTAGAAATGATGTAGTATTCGCCTGCTGCTGAACTATGTGTATTTTTTAAAAATAATTTCGCGATTTTTTTTGGAATAGCCACGTTAACTTTGGAGGATGCTTTGGATTTTTAATTAACAAGAAATTCCAAAAAAATCAGGCTGAATAACCCAATGAATGCAGAGATAATTTTGGGCATGTGCTTGATATAGTGGTTTGATTCAAAAAACATTGGTACCGAAAGATGTTAATTTTACCAATGTTTGAAACTGAATTTTACCTTTATACTCGTGTTGCCATCAGAAATTCATATTTGAATTACAACACAATATGATGACCACAAATCAGGCGAAAACTTTGTTCAATATTTTTTTTTCCAAAGAAGGATTTTCTGTACAAGTTGACAAAGATTGAAATGGCTTTTTAAATACAATTTGGATAATAATGTAACCTTATTCATATAGCAGCTGTATATACACACATCAGCAGGTGCATATAATAGAAAAATTGAAATTTGTCATGAACTCACCACATATCCTCGCCACTATGATAAAGCCATTGGAAGTCCGGAAGTCGTAAATTCTCTTGGCTGCCAGGATGATGTTTGTGGCAATGATGAGTCCCACGAAGATCAAATACACATAGTTGTTCTTTATGTAAGGCATTGTCAGCTGGTAAGGAAGCTGGAAACTGTGCGACTTGCCCTGGGTGCTCTTTTTCGGAGGCACCAGCCATCTCTCAATTCTGCAAAAAAAAAAAAAAAAAAAAACAAAAGGACCTGTATTCTAATGTACAATA